TTTACTTTGCTCTGGACTGGCTTTGTAAAAGGCCAGTGGTGCAAATTCACGCCACGAGTTGTAATTCATACATGCTGTTACTAGCACAGTGTAAACAGGAAAACGCTGTGATTTGGACAAGTTTTTTTTTGTCTTATTGAACATCGCTGTTTTAAAGTTATTGTGTCTTAAAATGGGCAACAGCCAATAGCTGTTGAATTTTTTGGAAGGACAGAACTGTATTTATATTTGGGCAAACAGAAGGCATGTCCCGTTAGAATGGTTTATAAACAAGTAGCTGCGTGACAAAAAGAATGAACAAGAGTGTGTTCATCCCTTGAGTAAGATGCTGGGTTTATCCCAGGTCGGAATCGCACAGATTTTCTCAGATACTGCGTTCCCATTGTTGGGAGTGACTGTCCGTGCCAGGTCTGAAGAAAACTGTCACTGTGCATTTCAGTTAAAATATTGTGAGGCTTTTCCATTTTCAACGTGAATGAATACAGTGCTGATGAACTTCAAGGGCCTGGGAGGAAATACGGAAAATGGGGGTGTTTTACGCCTTTCCTTCACTGCTTTGCTACGGCGTCTCACGCCTTGTCCTACATCAGCTTCTGCTGCTGAGCCTGGACCTTGCCAGAGGTGACTGTTTCTGCTTGAAGAAATTATGCGGTGGTTCTGAGATGTTCACGGAGGTGAGCAAACTTGGTTCGTGTGGGAATTCCAGTTGCCACAGGTTTAAGAAAAACCCGAACTTTTCCTTACACGTGCTATCAAAAACATGGTGACACTCCTCTCAAGGGTGGAATTAAAACCAAACTGTAAAATAGCCTTGATTTTTGAGAAATGAGGTGAGTCTTGGATTATTTGAGGCAGGTATATGACGTATGATTTATCTCCAGGAATGGTAGATCTTTTGCACACCTCCTTGGCAGATGATGCAATTTTGGTGCCGTCGGTCATGTTGCCAGTGGAGAAAAGATGTGTTAGAACGTTCTCCTGCGAGACAGTGTCCCACAGGCTGGGTTCTCCAGTAAAGTGTGCAGCAAACTAAGACAGGTAGCCCACAAAGTGGTTTTTTTTTCTTTAAAAAAAAAAAAAGCAGCATATTTCCATGGACGTATCTGCCGTTAATTCCTTAATAACTGAATGTAGATCCATATAGGGAGCATTCTGATGAAAAGGGAGTGTCCTTTTAAGTGCTGGAGCCGCCTTCTTTTCTTCCTGCTGTCATGTTGGATGTGGAAGACACTTGTTGTGTTTGCGTCCTTAGAGTCATTTAACAAAGAGATCCTAAGAATGCAATCAGAAAGTTGTTTCATGGTCCTTTTCTAATTGTCAACAGCAGTCAGCCTCTTCTGAGGTAAGAATTTTTGTCTGGTTTGGCATTTACTGGAAAATGTAATTTAGAATTGCTCGCAGGAGATTCAAAAATAACTAAGTATAAATTGGCATGAAAGGGAGTTCCACATGGCAGCTCATCCTGAGGAGGCCAAGCATCGCTGATGGCCGTGGACAGGATTGTAGTCTGAAGGCTCAATGGGGCTGCTGCAGGATAGTCCTGCTGGGTTTGGATCCAAACTACACAGCAAGCAAGCCTGAGCTTTTTTTATTAAGCTGGCCCAGAAAGCAAGCTTTTGCGCATCCAAGGTTGTTCCTTTGTCCAGATGAGAGAAAATAGTTGTGTATGGATGAAATAGCTGTTCTTTCCTAGGATGTGCTTTAACCCACATACATATCTTAAAAATGTGGTTGTGATTATAGTTCTAATTTGATCTTAGTGCAGAGAGCACACGGCAAAGATAGGGTTCTCTTCCTTCCTTGCCCTTCCCCACCAGCTCTAAGCGCCAATGGGACATAGGCTGTTCTCACCATGGTAGCTTCTGTTTTTGAACGAGCAGTTTGAGATGCCTTAAAGTGAGTACAGGCTAATAACCTGTCACAGGTATTGCTGTTTTATAGGGCTGAATATTGATCTTCTGGCCAGTTCTTTGGATGGCAGGATAGCTTATAACTGCTGTTGGCTGGTGTAAGCTGGCGCAGCCGAAGGACAGAGTCACCGTCTCAGCAGCTGCCTTTATTCCCAGCCCAGCTGTAGGCTGTACCCTTTCTGTAAATGGTGCGTAGTCCTCTGATTGATTGTTCCATACAGTCAGAGCTAGGAGTCATGGAAATGTTGTCAGCATTCTTCTAAGAAGAAATCATATGACATTATTATTTATGTCCTGCAAGGTTCTCATTCAGCGAAGCAGTTAAGTATGTGGTCATATATTGTGCTGAACCAGTGCCTAAAACAATACTGAAGAGAGCTTTGTAAATGTGAATATGAAAAGCAGAAAAAAAGTGGATTGCTAAATTATGGACTATAAGTATTATGTGCTTTCTTTTTTCACAGTGTTTTACTACTGAACTGAACTGTGGTGAGTTGAATGGCATACTGCGGTTTGCAGGCAAGACGTTGTTCTATTTATGAT